TACAAGTAAGCCTAAAACTGTCAGATTCGGGCATGCTACTTAATTCATCGATAACGGTGTCTCATGACCCAAGCAAGGCCTACACATGGGATGGCTTCTATTTAAGACTGTTTCCCCAATGATGACATTAATTACACATACGAATCCGGGACTGGAGAGCTACTAGATTTTTAACCTTTGTATTTAAATTCTTATTTCATCCTGAACTAGTCCCTTGTACAAATCAAAGCACATACAGGCAGGATAACAAATGACAATCATTTGGGGGTTTGTAGCAACCAAAAACATATTTCTGTGAAAATGGAAGTGCACAAGAAGGCAGCCATCTGTTGTTTTAAAAACAACAGAACTATATTTAAATCTATCATGTAAGGTTTGGGCATTGAAAGCAGGGGCAGAATTGTTTATAGTCATATAAATAGGGGAAGCTTTTGTGTTTGTCTTTGTCTATGTTAATGTGATTAGATAGCTATTACTGACTGAAAATAGTTAATATTCAATGACAGACAAGATTGGCTGAAAGTTGCCCTATTTTTAATAGTTTGTGAGCCACATGGATATGTCTGCTCAGAAGGTTCTTATCTTTTCTTTTTATTTTGAGTGGCATGAAGTTCAAATATAGTCCTTGGTAAAGCCATAAGAATCTGTGATAAGAGAAATCATTAGAGGAGCCTGAACTTTTTCTCCTGAATCAAAGTTTGAAACGTGTAAGTCATAAAAGAATTAACAATATGAATAATTGTAAAAGAATTTTAACAAAGCCCATTCTAATGTGAGTTAGATTTCAACTAAAAAGCATTCTTCCAGATATGCAATACAATGGAAACTATTGTTCTATTATTAATTGTTTTACTTGTTAATAATACCTTCCGAGCATTTTATTGTAATTCTTGATTCATTTTCAATGTTTATGAGAGGAATTTCATAAGTTAGTCTTGTAAATGGCTTTCATTTATTCCATATCATGTAGATTTTACGTTTTACTAATGAAAAATATTGTGATACATATTCCTTGGAAGAAATAATAATTTGATATCACAGGCGGTATTTTTACAGAGGTTAGTGAGCTACGTCTCACATATATACAAGATGTGATCAAAATATACAGTGAACATTTTAATTTTAATAAGTATGACAGTAAAAGACACATGACCATTAAGGCACCTTAAAATACTCCCCTCGTTTCAAACACACTTTTCCCATCTTTCTTGCCATTTTCTGAAGCAGTTCTGGAAGTCTGTCAGTATCTCTGCAAGTGTCATCCAAAGTCAGTGAAAGCTGTTGCTGAGCGCCATTCAATGGAAAGGCAGCCCTCCTACATTGGGTGCCCATCCACCTTATTCACTGGGTCTGGCACCATGGAACTTCTGGCTGTTCCCTCCAGGTCAAAATGATGGTGAAATGTAAATGTTTTGAATCAATTCAAAACATTAAAGCAGCCATAACAAAGCAATGGAAGAAACTCTGGAAAAAGGACTATCAGAACTGCTTTAGAAATCAGCAATGCTGGCCAGGCGTGGTGGCGCAAGCCTATAATCCCAGCACTCAGGAGGTTGAGGCAGGAGGATCGCTGCAGCCTGTCTACATAGTGAATTCCAGGTCAGTCTCAACTACCTAGTGAGACTCTCTCTCAAAAAACAGAAAAAAACAAGACAGAAATCAGCAATGCTAAGATAAGTGTGGTTGAAGTAAAAGGTGAGTGTTTTGAGGGGGACTAATATAAATATACCCTTTCCTGTAATAATTTTTAAAACATTAAACATTCGCCATATTTTTAATCACACCTCATATTTTCATTAATGTGCATTGTAGTTTGAAAACATGAAAACATACATTGATTACCAATACTTTGCCAACATTAAATGTTCACATTTTGGTCTGCTTTTATACAGTGTGGGAGTAAATATCACACATCCAAAGTAAGTTGTAGATCACAATGTCAAGATACTTAAAATATGGGGGTGCCCCTGGGGAAAAATATTTTTTAAATTGACTATATTTATAAGGTCATGATTAAAAACTGTGAACTATTTCTATCTGAGAGAATGTATGACCTAATGTTTTAGATTTGGAATATCTTCCACTCTAATGTGAATTCTATGAAATCAGGTGCTAGGTATGCCTGTATGCCCCAAAACTATCACAGTTTTTGGCACTTATGTGCTCAACAAATACTTCTCTGAATGGATGAGTGAACATCTTTTGTCTTTTTCTTTATCCTGGTAATTGTCTCTCCTAAAATCCTGTAATAGCCAGAACAGCCATTTTTCTATTTGATACCAGAAAAAACCTTCCAACGTTATCAGCCTAAGCTTTTCAATATTATACCCCCCTTTTTTAAGAGACCACACTATAATATCCTCACTAGTAACAGCTAAGAAGCAGAAATTCACATGTTGGGATTTTTCACTCATAAATACTTATAAAGTGAGAACATGAAGCCAACTGCATCTCTTAAGACAGAATATAAACTATGGAGTATTATTAAGAATTTCAAATCTTATGGGAGGAATCGCTTTGGGATAGAAGTTAGTTTTAAGTCAATGCTTCTTAAACTTTAATGTTCCTGGTGATCATGTTAAAATGCAAATTTTTATTCAGTAGATTGTAAATGGTATTTCAATCCACATTTCTAATAAGCACTCAGGTCATACTGATGCTGCTGGCCCATGCAAAAAGCTTTGTGAAGTGAGATATTAAACAACTGCTTAAACCGTTTTATTTTATATGTGTGTGTGAGTGTGTGTGTATGTGATACTTACTTGGATTAAGAATTTTGCAGTGATAGACTTGAAAGGACTTGAAATATGATCTATTGTCTCATTTTACACAATTATTCTCTAGAGTCCATAGTACTCAATGACATATATCAATGAGTGTCAGGAAATGGAAACACAGCTACTAAACTAGATTTTGTGTGTGTTTATATGTGTGTGTGAGTGTGTGTGTATGTGATACTTACTTGGATTAAGAATTTTGCAGTGATAGACTTGAAAGGACTTGAAATATGATCTATTGTCTCATTTTACACAATTATTCTCTAGAGTCCATAGTACTCAATGACATATATCAATGAGTGTCAGGAAATGGAAACACAGCTACTAAACTAGATTTTGTGTGTGTGTGTGCGTGTGTGTGTGTATATCGGGGATTGAACTCGGGTCTTTGTGCTTGCAAGGCAGGCCACCGAACTGCTAAGCTACATCCCCAGCCTGCTACTAAACTACACTTGCACAAGCTCCTTCTTTTCTTATAGCTCAACATAAAGCATAATTCCTAGATAAAGAATATAACTACAAATAAATAGTCGTGTCATGTGTGGAATGCTAAACTTCTAAAATTATTTTTATATTTCTTACCAGTGTTTTATTAGACACTGTAGAAAGTAGTAATCGATATTGGAGAAGGTCCTGAAGTGATCGGAAAATCAGCTCTCGATGGAAAGCAGAGTCCTGATAAGCAGTGGGAACAATTGAAGTTGTAAGGAGCCTTTAGGAAATGGGCACAGAGACAGGTTACAAGTACGAACGCAGTGAGTGGAAATAGGGAGGAATCAGAAAAGTCACCGAGAGATATAATTTGTGAAGGAACTTTGGGGATGAGTGCTTAGAGAATGAGGTGTTCTGGAGGTACAGAACTTGGGAATGAGTGAAGAAATTATGCCTAAAACAAAATCATGCTTTCTAGGAAGGAAACTGTACTCTGCCTCATATGTCCCTGGGAAACGTCTAAACTTTCTGTCATAAAATATTATTCCCCCAAAAATTAATTGGGTATTTCAGCCAAAAAATATTTGGCAATCATTACTATCATTTTTATTATTATTATTATTATTACTATTATAAATAATATTTTCAAATTGTGAGGGACCTCATGATACTTTGTACCTAAGAATATTTCTAAAAAACAAAACAAAGCAACAGACAATAACAGTGATTTAATACAAGAGAAATGAACATTTATTTTAGTTTGTTCCCTTTACTGTGATAAAGAATTGCCAAACCAACATTAGAAAAAAAAATAGTGCAAGCTGTTGTCATCCTGGAAAACACATTAACTACATAGGGTAATCGTGTAAAAAATAGAACTGAATTTTATAGCTGCTCTGGAGGATAAAAGCCTATTCTGAGTGTTGGCTAAAGCCCTTATAAACAGTGTACATCACACAGGCCTTATCTGAGTCACACCTCCCCAAAGACATCTGCCAGTTTAGGAGAATACCTAGGTAGGCACTCATACTTAACACACAATTTAATTTTGTTTTCATATGTGTTATGTGTCATATTTCATTGTTAGCATATGTTTTATGTACTATATTTCTTTTTTTTTTTTTTTTCAAGTTTTAACCTAAGTTTTTTTTTTTTTTTTTTGCAAGTTTAACCTAAGTTTTGGTGAGAAAAATTTCAGTCCTTTCCTTGTAAGCACAAAGGAATTCAACAGAAATTTTTTGGAGGCAGTAACCAGAAAATATAACAGCAACTCTTGGAATCCTTCTCAAACAGACAAACCACGCTGAAGACAACTGTTAAAAATACTTTTCTGCCTGAGTATTTATCAACCTCTATGTTCTGTTGTTTCAATTGGCTTTTGGTAAAAAACAAAAAGCCCGACCCACTTTTTGGAAGAGGTACCACATCTACAAATGATGAAAATAAATTAGTTTCCCTCCCCCTAAAAGATGTTAACTTCTAACGCATACAAAAAACTATATCATATCTCATACAAATTAATCGGTGTTCTTACAAAAGTAAAGCAGCTTTGGACTGATAACATTGTACTGTACTGTGGTGAAGTATGAGACAAGAAAATATGCATTCATTAGGCAATTTCAGTCCAATCAGTCTCTAAGGTTAACATTTAATTCTTAGCAATGTATAATAAACTGGTATTTATACTTAAGTAAAAATCTGTGGAGAGCAAGAAGCAGTGCATTATAGTAACAGGATATTTATTTGAAAACTGCAGTGCAGTACAAAGTTCTATGAACTTTGGGATCTGTTTTGCTGTTAATCACCTGTCCTAAGTCCTTGCTATGAGTTAATATTCATGCTCTCTCCATCGGCAGTCTCTGAAATTTCCTTATCTTCCCCATTATCACTTAGGTCTTTGAAATTAGCTGTCTAGCTACCTTGACATTTACTTCTTCGTTGTAGCAGATCTTTATTTTGATTTCTAATCGTTGCTCTTTTTTCCTTTAATCTGTGGTGGTGAGTGATCATGATCCTCTCGTGCACCGCTTTCTTGCTCTAGAGTCTGATAATTTGACTCTGAGCCTTCAGCAGCAGCTGATTGCTTAGCTGAGACATCTGGAGTTAGGGCTTGAGTGAGTTCGATGTCCATACCAGTGTCTTCATAATTATCTACAATATTAAGAGAAGTAGTACTTGATTCATCTACATAGTCTATGGCGGCTGCGTACTGAGTTGCCAGGATGTTCATTTCATCCCACCTCTGGGATTTGACGATCCGGCGTGACTCTTCGGTGGAACCCACCACTGAGGAAGAAGTCCCAGCGGTCTTGTTCTTCAAGATCCCCTTAATGGGCCGGGGCGAAGCCGTGGAGTCCCCGGCCGGCGGGTCAGGCTTTTGGCTCATAGTTGCTGCTGGTGGAGGGCCCAAGAAGAGAAGGTCGGCTGCTCACAGGGACCAGCCCCGTAGCCGCAGATCCAGCTTATGGGCCTGAAGTGACCGGACTGGCTGTTTCAGGAACAACTCCTGGCATCGCGATCACGACACAATGACCGTGACGTCATAGTCGACACCGCGCGTGGAGAGTGTCCTCTTATATTTCATTTTTACTGTTTGCCTTCCTGGTTCATGATTCCAGTTTATCTGTAAGTTCACATTTATAAGAGCAAGTAATGTATGTATTTATTCCTACTACATGTCCCATCCCTAAAATAGAAACCCACCCTGGCCCTATTCACTTTTGTATAAGCCACTCTGTGTACCAGTATGTGAGCTTCTTATACAAAATATTGAGAGTAGTATTCTGCATTTCTGAATTGCACTGTCAATCAATACAAATGCACGTACCATGTAATTAAACTGAGATCGCATTTGGTTTAATACAAATGTGTTAATTTATAATTTTATTGGAGGGTTATTAAACATAAATTTGTATTTTTGAAGAATATATGCAGAGATGAGGTATCATGAGCAGCTTATGAAGTTCAGAATTAAAATAGGATTTAAATAATTAAAAATAGAAGCCATTGCAGTTTATGGACTTTCTTCTCATCTGAAAAAAAAAAGTGATAGTGGGGTTTCCAGCTGAGAGGAAGAGTTGCAAAAAACATTTTGTTCCACCTAGTTAATTCTTTCCTACATGTGCTATATTCATTGTATCCATTTTAAAAGCAAATGAGCCATCTCCATCTTCTTGCATTTGTGGCAAATTCTTGATGTGCCAATTTCAGATTGTATGCATCTTGGAGAGAATAAGTTGCTCTAATCTTGATTATAATTTTAAGTTAAAAGAATGAAATTAGTTCAATATGGGGACCTTGATAGGTTGCACTAGTCAGTCTATTACTGCTTCTGCTGACAAAAATAGAAAAATTTTCTGTACACAAAAGGATAAAGTCATGCATATTTTAAACTGCATAATGCTATGAATTCTACTGGACTTCAATTCAATCAAGAAATCAGTTCAAGGAATCTAAAATTCTTTGATAAATGTGTTGTTACTGGAAAGGTCAGCCACGTTGCTAGTAATTAAAGAAAGCTTTCAATAAAACTATGTTTATTATGAAAGCAGATACTTTCCAAATGAGAGTATAAGAATGGGTCATATATCATTCTCGATCAGATAAATTAAGATCAAACAATGAGTTATCATTATCCAGCAATTAGAATAACAAACGTTTGAAAGAATGATAATACCTAGTGTTGCAAATATATGGGGTTTATATGGAGCAAGTGAGACACTTAAACTTCATGATCGGGAATGAAAACTAGAATAATCAACTTGGAAAAAGTTGGACAGTTTCTTGTAAAGTTAAGTATACATGTACTTACCCATGAATACTCCTAAGTATTCACCCAAAGAAACTAAAAGGTGCATCAACATAGAAGACATTTTCACAAGTATTTGTCACAGATTTATTCATAATATCCTCAATCTAGTGTCACAAACACAGTATGGACAACGACTCAACAAAAAAAAAAGCAAACAAATGGATCGTACGCGTGAGGACATGACAGATTTTGAAGCATTATGTGGAGCAAAGAATCCAGACATAAAGAGGCATGTGGGCAGTAATGAATAAACTAAGCCATGGTCATAGAAATCAAATTAGTCACTCCTGGTCACAAGGGAATTTTCTGAGGTAATGAGGATATGCTGTACGTAGTATTTTATAAGAAATGTTAATACATTCAAAAGTCTGAGCTTGGAGAACTTTGATTTTACATTCCTAGGAGATCATCTAAATATCGAAGCTACAGAGATAGAAGAGAAAGCACCGTGTAGTATCATTGTGCTGCTCCCATAAAAATGGAGGTAGGATCGAATGATAAGGTATTTATTTATTAACCCACTTGTTATTAGAGTATAAACTCTTTTAGGCATTGGGAATACAGATTTAGTATCTGGTCTCACCTAACACGCACTTATTTCATTTGGTCGCAACATACGGTAAGCAAATATCAAATAAATATGATGATTGCAAATAAATGCTATAAAGGATATAAGAGTACTCAGTCAGGAAAGATAGTACAAATCCATTGTTCTGAGAAAAATATACCAGGTAGAGGAAAGTATAAATGTAAAAGCCCCAGGATAAGAAAGAAATTGGAAACTATTATGGAGTTTTGAGTTGGTTGTATTATCTATTTCTGTTTTTTTAATACAAGGTCTTGTTTAATATGTGTATTAAAAGAAGGGGAAGTAAGAAGCATGAGCACACTTTTTAAGTACCTTGCAATAAAAAGAAAGTGAAAAGACCAGTTAAAAGGTTATCACAATAGCTCAGGTTAAAAAAAAATGATTGGCAGCTTCAATTTGGAAAGTAACAATAGAGACAAACAAAAGTGGATACTTTCAAATTTGATTTTAGAGTTAGATCTGACAGGACTTAATAACAAGTACGATATGGAGAAATACATGAATGGAATGGAGAAACCAAAATGATCCATGGGCCTTTGCTTGAGATTCTTGCCATTTACAAAGATGAAAAAGTCTGGGTGAATAAGCTGGATTTCATTGTAGAAAGGGCCAAGGGTTTATCATTCAGAGGCTTCAGGAAGAAGATAACACTCCAAAATCTGCTAATATGAGGAGATGCTGAAAGCATGTAAAAACTGCAAGAATAGTTGCTACACTTTTGAGCTCGTACCCATAGGGAGTTATTGCTATGCCTAGGAAATAAGGGGCACAAAGAACAAATATTTGTGATGGTGGAGTGGGAGGTCCTTTGATGGGAGAGTATGTCTTCAGTAGAGAAGCTCAATAAACCTGTGGAAGTACAGAAGAGAGGGACCTTCCTTTGTTTTGTGGCTGGAGAATATTTTCCTTAAACAAAACCAGTCAAATATGAATGGATATAGTATATGGGAGGTGGTAAGGCATGCGGAATATGAGAAGTGAGGAGTAGCCAGTGGCAATCACACTACACTCAGAGTTATGAAACTGAATCTAAAAGGGCAAGGAATTCTGTTTACTCTAAAAATATATTAAACTTCACCAGGCAATCTAAGTTACAATAACAACATGGAAATTTTGCAAGAACATAGAATTTTTGTTACCAAAAGAATTAAATTGGGAGGCTTTGCTAGCAATGTGTTAGTCGTGTGTCATTTAAAAATATTTATTACAGGGAGTGGGTCCTCTTAAAAGTTACTTTTTAAGTACTCATTGCTTAGTTAAGAGATAACCTATCAGAAAAACCGTGAAGAGGTGTTATGGGTTGCCTAAAACTTACAGACAACTTCTACCTTGTAAAGGATCTTGAGAGTGCTAGACAGATGGAAATGAAGAACACATCCGTTTCTTTACCATTAAGACCTTGCATAGGTGTTTGTGACATTTGGAGCTAGGATAAAAAATCAGGTTTTATTCCATATGCTCAAAATCTCTATTATTTTTGTCAGTATAGCTTTGTAATTCTCATATGTAATTCTATTTCTGTATTTTGCTAGAATTGTCCAACAAAGACAGCATCTTTACATTTCATAATGAAAGCTATGCAAGGGTCACATTGGCCATTATAAGTTTGGTTAGAAGGCACTATTATCAAAGCACTGAAAATTTTTGAAGATACACTCATTTTAAACAGTTATTTACTGCTTGTCTCATATTTATTCCTCTGAAATACTTTATCCGTCACTACGAATTGATCAATTACTGACAGGTAATATGGACATTGAAAGAAAGCAGGATTTAAATTCTGTATCTTTATATGCTTTTGCAAGTACAGATTATTCAGTTAAGTTATGTTATCTGAATTTGTTTTGAACTGAAGAACATTCATTGGATCCAAGAGATATACTAAATACCTGCTGTGATCCAGTCACTCTCCTAAGCACTTGGACTATGTCCATGAACAAAGTAGACTCAGATACTTGTTGGGTGGATATATTCTACTGACAATAAATAATAAACGTAATAGAAATTAACCACATGCTAAATTCTAAAGTGATACATGCTGTGGAAATATAGTGCATGCACAAAATAAAGCAATACCCATCAAACTCATAAAATAATTTTTTCTTTTTTTGTTACCAGGAATTGAACTCAGGAACTTGCTCTTGCAAGGCAGGTGCAGTGGCACTGCAACACATGCCCAGCCCTCATGAAGTAATAGTGACCCCACTCTAATATCATCTCTCTGAACTCAGAAGTGTATCTTGTAGTTATCAAATACATAAATATTTAAATGGTCAGGCCAAATCTTTATTAGCTATTACTGACACATTCATACTTGGTATGTTAAACGTGTGGATCACTAAATACATTCAAATAGGCCAGTCTTTCAACTTTCTTTAACATGCCTCTCCCAATGTTTCCAACAAAGAGACTAAAAGAAAAAATAGATAATTTCATTGTATAATAAATTAGGTTATATTTATCAGAACTATTTACTGGTCCATCATTTGTCTTAGTGTGTGCATATGATTAAGGCATTGAATCTGAAACATAACGAAGTATGCCTTGCTTAATTTTTAAGGAATTCTTTTCACAATGAATTTCAATTAATATCAACGTCTCTTTCTAGTCTTAAAAATAAAGGGAAATAATATTTTATGTGCATGTCGGATTTGAAGAAATTCTATGCACACGAGGATGAATCTGCTTTATATTTTCCTTTTTATTAAAGTTCATGGAGAATTGATGAAGTTACATTTCATGATGCCAAGTCTCTAAGCAAAATTCTCCAGCATGACAACTGCTAGATAAGTGAACTGAGGGCAGTCATTCCCTTAGGCAGTGGGCAAGCTGCCCAGTTATGAACCCTAAACTCAGTCTGTCAAAAATAAAAGGATATATGATACTAGTGTCTATTACCTTTGACTTCCTTTTGACCAGGTTTTTTCTATGTTAAGAGTCGAATTTTTATTCCAAGGTACACTGGAAAATACAAAAATGATAATCCCACACTAGGTTATCATTATCTTTGGAAAAATTACATTTCCTGCTATTTTCCTGGCATTTTTTTTGTTGTTGTTGTTTTGCTTGGTTTTTGTCTTTGTTTTTTAAATTGGGGATCC